TGTTTTTTGAGGTATCATCATCGATCCACGCACACGCACAGATGCCTCAGCTGCCCGCCAGTCCAAGGGCGTGGCCAGAGGCCCGGATCTCGACAAGGGGACACAGGGTTCGCAGTACTGCATGGCTGCTCTAGTCCTCCGGGAGCAGGAACCCTCAGCTCAAGGCACGCCCGATTCGCCAACTTTTCCTGAGGAATGCAGATGGAGGGAAGAGGCATGAGGTCGGGGAAGGGCGCCCGTTTCGCTCACTTCACGCCACCCTGGACGGCCCTCCGCCTCCCTCTTGGGGGCACATCGCTCAGGCCCCGGCACCCTCTTGCTTCGCCAAGCTCCTCACACGCCAGCGGCTCAGGGAGGGCTTCAACCCAGAACTGGCCTAGCCTGGCCCACCGCACACAGCGCAGGTTCCTAAGGGCCCCGCGACGGGGCAGTCCAGGGAGGAAGCCCTGGCTGGGGAGAAGCACGGGAGCACCTCCAGGGAAGACCTGCTCCGGCCTTCCCTTTGCACGTGCCTAAGTGCCGGACCTCAGTCACGATGAGAGAGACGGTTTAAGAGTCTTCACTCATTCTGTTCAGCTCCAAGGAATGTAATTGGGGTGTCATCATCGATCCGAGCACACTCCAATACATGCTGGAGGGGCTGCATGCTGGCCAAAGCTCCAACCCTGGCAGGCCTCCTAACACCTGGGGCCCAAGCACCACGGCCCAGGTACACACAGCCCATGGGAAGCGGCCACCCTCCACATCCTCACAGGCCAAGGCAGCTGGAGGGCCTCGGGAAGCTCCCGGTCCTGGACACAAGGTCTCCTCCTTGTGGCAAGAGAGGCTTACCATCTTCCACAGACCCAGGCGGCGGCAGAGCACAACTCTGGCGGCAATTTCATGTGGCTTCCGCATCAAGGAATCACAAAGCCCCAGCAGAAGGTGGGACGGCCACGGCAACTGCCCCTGAGCAGTACAGACAAAAAGAGCACCACACGTGAGGGACACAGGGGCACCCATTGCATCGATCCACTGTCGCCCTGCACGTCTCTCTAAGCCTGCTATCTGCGGGTCCTGCCTGTGATGCCTCTGGGGCTTCTCCCTGGAAGAGGCTATTCCCTCCCCCGGGCGGAGAGCACCTCCACGGATATGGCTTCCACGTGGGGGTTCCACGCCGCTCACCAACTCAGGGGACAAAACCTTCGCAGTGACCCCGCCCAGTTCACTGCACCTCCCACCTGCAACCTCCCACCTGCAACCTGTCCCCCGTCCCCCCTGTAACCTGCCCGCCAGCTGCCTGGCCACAGCAGCTCACCACGTGCCCTCAGGCTACAACACGCCACCTCCCACCACCTGAGGACGGCCAACAGGCCAGCCCCTTCACTTTCACAGGCCGCATTTGCAAGACACATCCCGCAAACTATGGACCCTTCAAGGCTGGTGGAAGGGATTAGCTGGGGTGTCCCACAGGGCCGCCAAGGGTTCCCTCATTCGTTTCCCTAGAAAAGCAAGCCTCACGGGGAACACTCCCCCTAGAGAATCCCAGGCCATGAACCCAATGGGACACAAAATACACAAAGCCCGTGTCACCGAAGATCGGCTCGCCGGCTTCTCAGCAGCGTATCACCACTGGACTCAGGCACGGACCCGCAGGTCCCACAGCAAGAGGCTCCAAATGACTGTCCAGGGACTGGCCTCACATGGAGCAAGCATGCTTCTTGGGTGCAGCTCCGGGGAGAACTTCATCACCCAGGAAGCCTGACACCATGGATGCCCTGCTACCTGACGCTCACAGGGACAACACGAACCCTCCAAGCTACCCGCCGGGGACCTCTACGGCACTAACCCGCCTCGGAGGAACTGCATGGCCTCGCTCGCCATGGCCCTCTCCGGGTGGCCCAGGTCCACGGGCTCCCTGGGAAAGCGCAAACCCTGCTGGGAGTTTCCCAGGGAATCCCGGAGGGAGGGCCAGCTAGTGTCCCATTCCATGGGCAGGCCAACTGTGGGGACTGGCCTTCACAACAAGCGGGCTGACGTGGGCTGGACTCGCACAGAAGCCCTCCTCTCCCGGGCCCAACTCGGCCAACGGTGTCACTGCCCGGGGACCCAACACACGGACCCCTGCCCACAGACGCAACTCCCAACACAGCACGCGGGATCACACGCATTTCTACTGCCCCCAACTTGCACGTGGGACAGCCGGCCCTGACACGCCCCGAGGGACTCCTTCTGGCAAGTCAACAGCAATGCAATCCTGCACCACAGCTCACTGCTGCCCACCAGGGAGCCGGCAGGCCTCAGGGAACCTCCACCTTTCCCTGCCATTTCCTACTGGCACCCAAGCCACACACTGCCACCCTCGGTGGACTTCAGGGTTCCTTCTGGGGCACAGCGGCCCAAGGGGAGCTGCCATGGGCAGTGAGGCACGCTCCGCCGAGCCGCAAGATCCCTTCACACGGGCTGGGTATACTCCTTCCCGAAGAACCCACAGCCAGAACCGCCTGCCATTCCTGACATCTCTCCTGCAGGCCCCGCCCCTCAAAGCTGAGCCACAGCCTCAATGCTTTGACCCCATGGCAGGGGCAAGGAACAGTCTGCAGTCCATGCCACACTCCTCTTTCTCTTCCACTGCCAACATGAACCTAGGCCCCACTGACTCTCAACTACCTCTCAGGCCACACCACCATCTGCACAAGGCCTAGCCGTATCCTCTCCCAGGAGCCCGGGAACTCGGCCTCGGCACGGTCCGGCCTCACCAATGTCCACCCGTGCAGGGACTCCACCACCCAAACGGGGGCCCCGGAACACTCGCAGGGGCCCCCCACGGATCCGGGCTGCAACACAGCCAACACCCAGCTTGGAATCCATTCAACCCTGCTCTCCTCTAGCTGGACCCAGCCCCCTGAAAACACGTCCCTAAGGCTTTGGGGGCACCGGGCTCCCCCGTGAGGCATGCCTGTGCGCTAGGGGGAACGTGAGCACCTGGACGGGGCCCTGCTCCTACGGTCTGTGCGGGCGGCAACGGGCTGGACCTCAGTCACGATGAGAACGATGGTTTAGAGTCCTCACTCATTTTGTTCAGCTTTTCCAAGGAATGTTTTTTGAGGTATCATCATCGATCCACGCACACGCACAGATGCCTCAGCTGCCCGCCAGTCCAAGGGCGACTGGGCAAGCCCTGCACCTACAAGACCCTGAAGGCCTTGGGAGACCCGAGTGGGAGCCACTGGGCCCCAGCAGCCGGTCCCTCTCAGGTCGGAAAGCCCCTGGCCTTTGCAGGCCTGCACACACAGAGGGCTTCAGGCCTCCATCATCTCTTCACAAAGGGGCAGGAAATGCTTACCACCTTCCAACGGCCAGAGGCCCGGATCTCGACAAGGGGACACAGGGTTCGCAGTACTGCATGGCTGCTCTAGTCCTCCGGGAGCAGGAACCCTCAGCTCAAGGCACGCCCGATTCGCCAACTTTTCCTGAGGAATGCAGATGGAGGGAAGAGGCATGAGGTCGGGGAAGGGCGCCCGTTTCGCTCACTTCACGCCACCCTGGACGGCCCTCCGCCTCCCTCTTGGGGGCACATCGCTCAGGCCCCGGCACCCTCTTGCTTCGCCAAGCTCCTCACACGCCAGCGGCTCAGGGAGGGCTTCAACCCAGAACTGGCCTAGCCTGGCCCACCGCACACAGCGCAGGTTCCTAAGGGCCCCGCGACGGGGCAGTCCAGGGAGGAAGCCCTGGCTGGGGAGAAGCACGGGAGCACCTCCAGGGAAGACCTGCTCCGGCCTTCCCTTTGCACGTGCCTAAGTGCCGGACCTCAGTCACGATGAGAGAGACGGTTTAAGAGTCTTCACTCATTCTGTTCAGCTCCAAGGAATGTAATTGGGGTGTCATCATCGATCCGAGCACACTCCAATACATGCTGGAGGGGCTGCATGCAGGCCAAAGCTCCAACCCTGGCAGGCCTCGTAACACCTGGGGCCCAAGCACCACGGCCCAGGTACGCACAGCCCATGGGAGGCGGCCACCCTCCACATCCTCACAGGCCAAGGCAGCTGGAGGGCCTCGGGAAGCTCCCGGTCCTGGACACAAGGTCTCCTCCTTGTGGCAAGAGAGGCTTACCATCTTCCACAGACCCAGGCGGCGGCAGAGCACAACTCTGGCGGCAATTTCATGTGGCTTCCGCATCAAGGAATCACAAAGCCCCAGCAGAAGGTGGGACGGCCACGGCAACTGCCCCTGAGCAGTACAGACAAAAAGAGCACCACACGTGAGGGACACAGGGGCACCCATTGCATCGATCCACTGTCGCCCCTACTTCTCTCTAAGCCTGCTATCTGCTGGTCCTGCCTGTGATGCCTCTGGGGCTTCTCCCTGGAAGAGGCTATTCCCTCCCCCGGGCGGAGAGCACCTCCACGGATATGGCTTCCACGTGGGGGTTCCACGCCGCTCACCAACTCAGGGGACAAAACCTTCGCAGTGACCCCGCCCAGTTCACTGCACCTCCCACCTGCAACCTCCCACCTGCAACCTGTCCCCCGTCCCCCCTGTAACCTGCCCGCCAGCTGCCTGGCCACAGCAGCTCACCACGTGCCCTCAGGCTACAACACGCCACCTCCCACCACCTGAGGACGGCCAACAGGCCAGCCCCTTCACTTTCACAGGCCGCATTTGCAAGACACATCCCGCAAACTATGGATCCTTCAAGGCTGGTGGAAGGGATTAGCTGGCGTGTCCCACAGGGCCGCCAAGGGTTCCCTCATTCGTTTCCCTAGAAAAGCAAGCCTCACGGGGAACACTCCCCCTAGAGAATCCCAGGCCATGAACCCAATGGGACACAAAATACACAAAGCCCGTGCCACGGAAGTTCAGCTCGCAGGCTTCCCAGCAGGGTATCACCACTGGACTCTGGCAGCGCCTAGGTACAGGGCTGACTAGGGTTTCGTAAGCCCTGGCTTGAGAGAAGCATGGCAGCTTTTCCCAGGGACGACCTGCTCGTATCTTCCTTTTGCATGTGCCTAAGTGCTGTACCTCATTTTAGATGAGAGAGACAGTTGAAGAGATTTCACTCATTTTGTTCAGCTCCAGGCAATGTAATTAGTATGTTCTCATCCATCCAGTGACGCACAAAAATGCCTCAGTCTCCATCAGTGGAAGGAGAATTGTTCAATCTCTCCACCTATCAGATCGTGAAGGTCCTTGCAGATTTCAATCAATGCTACTATCCCAGAAACAGGGGAATGGAGCATGAAGCCCCTTTTTTGTTCTGTGGGCCATTTGAGCCTGCCGAGATGGAGGTGCAGGAATCTCTTTAATATCTCCATGTAAGTATTTTACAGTTTCAGTGTGATATACTTACCATCCTCCATAATCCAGATTCCTGGGGTGACAGGAGTGACACATGGTTTCCAGTTCCCCAAGGATCCTCTTGCTTCAAGACCAGTAACTCACATCTCTGGGCTGGCTTTCCACTGGAAGTGCCCCTGAGAAGTACAGAGATAACCACCGTGCCTCAGAGTATGGAATGTACAGGAACAGCTTAGTAACTGAGCGAAGAAGGGAAAGGACTCATACTCTTTTAAGTAACTCTACGAAACAAGAGTTATGCACTTACTAGAGAAGACTGTGGAAGCAGTGTCAATGACAAGGTTAGAGAAGGCAAATGTAAAAGAAAGAACGAATGAATGAAAGGTACCAAGTATCCTTAGGACGTGTACAAGAAGACCACAGGAAAGTACAGAAGCAATGCACAGAATGAGAGATCCAAGTGCACCAACCAAAATGCTGAGGTGGGCCTGCCTCCCATCTCCGCTTGATTGCATGGTCAATACCATGCTACCTAACTTTGGGTAAGGCCCTCAACAGTGTGCACAAAGGTATACTCACATCTCTGCCCAAATACTCACAATATATTAGTTCCAGAGTCACTGTATTTCTACAGTAGACACACACGCAACTCACTACTAACTCTAAATTCACCATGAATAAGGTACTCCTAAGTAGCCAACTATCCATCTCTGCAATTAGGTCCCGTTGATGTTATGCTGTGCTGGACAGAGTGGGGAGTCTGACCTGTGAGTATTAGACTTAAGTGTGAGAGAGAAGATCCAGGCCTGAGTGAGATATAGGTCAAGTCACCCAGGCACATGTAGTCCAACATTGTCATGGGATAGACACCAAAGGAGGCAGCCACAAACAGGAAGAACTCAAGATGGAGCACAGAGAACACATACCCATTTCTTTTTTTCTTCATTTACTTCTAGTTTTTTTTTTCACATACCCATTTCTGTTGTAAGTGTACAGCTTGAGCGACTGGACCTGAAGAGAATGCCAAGGGATCTCACGACAAAGAATAATATCCTGGGAGCACAGTGCTCTGTGATCCTCAGTGGAATACAATGGCAGCCACCAGGGGGAGCCACAGACCATACTGACCCTCAAACACCCCCAGTTACTTCTCCGGGGAAGAAGCACAAGGTTCAGGCACACACTGCCAGAGACAGAAAAAACAGCACCTTCTGGGTGGTACAATGGCAGGGGCAATGCAAGGCCAAATGCAAGCTATAGAGCTGCACACAATCTCTCTAGAACACTTGTCCAGCGATTGCCTGGCCACAGAGGCTGAACGCATGGCTTCTGCGATGCCTGACATCAATGATGTCCCTGCCAGCACCAGTCGAAGCCCGCAGAGCAGGGCATTGTTGTGCTCCCCAGGATGTCGCTGGGGGCTGACCCTGTCTCGTCACCAATTCCTGTTTCACATACACTAGCACCCCAGGTCCTTTCCAGAGTCACTAAGACAGCACCACCTGCTCCTGCAGGGCAGGGCTGGGCCTTCTGGGACAGGATTGCCAGGTACCAGCAGCCTAAGGCACCAACCACAAAGATGGGGGTGCTCAGCATAGTTCCCCAGCCTCCCCTTGCCTACACGGCCCACATGCAGCGCAGATCCATTCGACCCAGACTGGCCTCGAGGGGCCTCACCCATGAGCAGTGAGCCCTGGAGATCAGATCACGGTGCATATGAATTTCAAGGGAAGCTGCCGTAGCTACTCACCTTGGCTTCCTGACGTGGAGGTGTCACTCCAGGCCGCCTCTACCTAGCAACACAAAACCGAAAGAAATAGTCTCAGAAAACTATCCATCATAAAATAAAAAAGCACAAAGGTTGGTCCCATTGTCCATATTTCACACGGACATGTAGGATTCTTTTCTTCAGCCCAACACTGATAAGATCACCCACCAATGCTGAAGACTTCTGAACTCAATCGCTATTGCCTCGCTCTCCACTCAAGAACTGTGTCCTACATACAGGAATCTAGCGCAGTTCTGTTCAAAGTGTACACAGGGAAGCAAGGCTCGGTCACTGCACAACTTAAGGTGCACAGAACAGAAACCTAAGGCCCCATTCTGAGAGAAAGAAAACACATGCTCCTCCGGCTCTTGTGCTGTCAGTAATGTGGCACCACCTAGAGCCAGGCCTGGAGACTTCTCTGTCCTCTGAGCAGGCCGCTCATCTGGACCTCAGATTGACATCTGAAACGAGTCCCTCAGCGTCCTCAGGGAAGTGTTCTCTTCATCGATCCAGACAAGCAGCCTCCCGACAAACAGGGGCTTCCATCGCCAGGCTTGTTTTGTGCAGGTTTCTCAGCTGTGCTGTGACTGAAGCGCAGTAAAGTGCAGGAGGCATTTTGTGAGGGACCTGAAGAAGGGAAGGCTCACGCACATCGCATGAACACTAGAACCTTCCATTATACCAAAGGTAGACAACGCGCTTTAAAATTCATGAAATCCTTTTCACCAGCAGAAATTATAAAAATTGAAGTATCAAGCACCTGGGATTTAGCTCAGTGGTTCCACCACCTGCCTCCCAAGCACAAGGTCCTGAGTTCAATCCCCAGTACCAAAAAAAGAAAAAAAAAGTGAAATAACACAATTACAAACTAGTATCAGACTAGTATGATTATAGCAAAAAATAAGAGTACTAGCAACTATATTTTGAATGTGCCAGATAAAGGTATAATATTTAGCCTACTTAAAATTAAATAAAATACTGTCTTCAAGAAATACAAAATGTTTAAAGAGGCGTGAGATTCTCAAAAAGTATTCAAGAGACTACAAAAGTAAATTGTAAAAAGCTAAAAAATGCTAATGAAATCATTTAAATAAAATAGGGACACTCACAGGGTGAAAAATCCATCATACAAATATTTCCCTGCCATCCTGGGAAACCATGGACCCTTGGAGGTGTGAAATTCCCAGAACACACACAGTTTCAAAAACATCACAGCCATGGCTCACCTCATTTCCCTAATGGACTGAGACTCTTTCCAAACTTTAACCTGCAACAAAATAACATAAACACAAATCGTGAAATTATTAAGATAATACAAAATGTGCTTCTATAGAAGTCATCATGCAGAGATCTCTGCCCAAGCCCCAGTTGGGTCCTTTCTCATTTCATTTCTTCACTTATTTCTACCCTAAATTTTTATTCTACACTCAATAGTTATCTTAACCATGCTATGCACTTAGTGGTACAATCATTTTCTCCCATGAGAGGCTCTAGAGTTTGAATAACTTCATAAAGACTTTATGAATACATGCCTGATGATAGGTAAAATGGAAAGCATCCAGTGAAGGGAGACTAGTATTTTGAAAGTTAGAAATTCAAATTTGAAAATCAATTTCAACAGGATAGAGAAAACTATACTATGCTGGACCTTAGATGTATCTGAAAATTTTATATACAACATTATAAATGAAAGGAAAAAGAGATGATTAATTTTATAATAATGGAGATTATACACAAAAAGATAGAACGGAATGAGACATTACAGGACTGCAACATTAGTGAAAGGAGGCAGAGGGAGTCGGCGTGTCCCATCTCTACTCAACAGTGGAGCTCAAGGAAGAAACCCAGGAGGAAGGCAAGGGAGTGCAAGCACAGGACCCTGGAGAGTGACGTTTGGGGGGAACTGGAGAACGCACACTCCTGGGAAACATTACATCTATGCTCTTTTGCCTGTTCTCTAGTATTTCCTGACCTGAATTTGAGGAACTAGAGGGGAGAGGTGAAAGACAAACCATGAAGTTGTTTGTGAATAACAAAAAAACCTAGTATGTTTTACATGTTGTTTACAATACCACTGGCTGAAAAATAAAGATGTAGGCGTGTTAACTTTCCAGGATGTAGTAGAAAGGTTTATCATGCAAACATAAATCAAAAGAATAGTGAAACAGAAGGTAGATGAGAGCAAGGAAATTTTTCCTGAAGAGTGAGGGACACCTATGGAGTTAACTCACCAAGAAAATACTACAGATCTCAATGAGTATCCAACAAAGACTTCATAAAGAAGCCAAAGCAGACAGAAATGAAAGCAAAAACCCGCTATTACAGATGGGCCTCTTTGCACTCTGCTCTCGGAAAGTCACTCATATAAAGACCTGAAAACTACTATGTGTGCCCTATGTGAATGACATCAGAGTGATACAGCACTCTCTTCAGCTATCCTTTCTGAATCTTAAGTAATCTTGCAGGCCACACATCTTGCATTTAAACTGACACTGATCCTGTGCCATATCAAATGGAAAAAACAAGCACACATGTGTAATGATTAAAATATACATTGGATTAACCATTGTGAGGCTATAAAAGTATATAATTTGCTTTCAATTATTTCTTTCTCCTATGAGAAGAGTTTCTCACTATTTAGACACATTTTTTGCCTTTATAAAATGTTTACTATATGAGATATGATACAAATACAGAGAAATCTTGAATGCCTTTAAAAATATATTATGATAAAAAACACATTGCCATTCATTCCCCCAAAATTACTCTCCTTCACTTCAAACACGTTCATCCTGTTGTTAATTTCACTTCTTAAAACAGACTGGGAAGTCCTCTTGGGTGAGAGTCTTTAGTGGCACTGTTGTGGCTACATTTATGTCTCGGGATTTAGCTCAGTGGTTCTGCCACTAGTCTCGCAAGCACAAAGACCTGAATTCAATCCCTGGCACCAAAAATAAATAAATAAATAAATAAATAAATAAACAAAAAAAAATTTATGTCTTGAATTGATTGAAACTTTTGCCTTTCTTGGTCATTTTTTACTTTTGGGACCAGCCTGAAGTTTCATAGTTCAGGATCTGGTGCATAGCATAGAAGAGGACACACCGTCATGATTTTACAAGTCTTTCTGGCAACAGCTTTTACTCAACATTTTTTAATCATACCTCATAAATAACGCACAAAGATTTCCAGAAGTGCTTTAGAAAGTGGCAAGAAAAACTACATATGTGTGTTCAAGATGTAAGTGAGTATTTTGATAGGGATTAATGGCCACATTACTATAATAAAGTTTTTAAGAAATTTCAACACACATTGTATTTATTATCACCCCTGATCCCAGAGGATCAATGAAATTAGAAGATGCAGAAACAACTCCAAACACACTCAGCCATCTCATCCTTGACAAAGGTTCCAAACACTCTCAGTGGAGGAAAAACAGCCTCTTTAAATGCTGCTGGAAGAACTGGGTTTCAACTTGCCAAAGATTAAAAGTAGACCTGTATCTTTCACCATGTTCTAAACTAAAATCAAAATGGATCAAAGATTCAAATATTAAACAGAAACACTAAACCTGCTAGAAGACAGGTCAGGTAGAACTCTTGAAGACTTTGGCATAGGAAGACTTTATGAACAAAACCTCAGTTGCACAGGAAAAAAACAAAAAGAATCAACTGGGATCTCTTATTTAAAAAGCTTCTGCACAGCAAGAGAAACTACCAACAGAGTGAAGAGACAACCCACAATGTGGGAAAAAAAATTTCACCAGCTGTTCCTCAGACAGTAGACAGGTCTACTATCTAGAATATACAAAGAACTTTAAAATTTAGACCCTCAAATTTAAAGACCCAATCAAAAAATTGCCATCTGAAATGAACAGACATTTCTCAGACAAAGTATAAACAGTAAATAAACAAATGAAAAAATATTCAACATCACTGGTCATTCGAGAGATGCAAATGAAAACAACACTGAGATTCTTTATCACTCCAGAAAGAATAGCTGCTATCAAGAAATCAACCAATAACAAATGCTGGTGGGGCTGTGGGGAGAAAGGAACCCTTCTCCACTGTGGTGGGAGTGCAGACTGGTGCAACCACATGGAAATCAGCGTGGAGATTCCTCAAAAAGCTAGGATTAGAAGTCCCATTTGACCCAGCTATTCTCCTGCTGGGAATCTTCCCAAAAGAACTAAAACCAGCATGCCACAGTGATATATGCACGCCCCTGTTCATAGTGGCACAGTTTATAATAGCTAAATCTTGGAAACAGCACAAATCTCTGTCAACTGGTGACTGGATATAGATGTGTAGTTTAGAGTACTACTCAGCCATAAAGTGTAAAAAACTAGAGTCATTTATAGCTAAATGGATGCATATTGAGGCCATACTCTTAAGGGAAACAAATAGGACACATATGTATAAATACCAAATTATTTCTCTGGTGTAAGAAACTGAAAGCGTAATTAAGAACCAAAATGTATAGGAGATAATGTGAAATCAGAAGCAAAGATTCAAAGGGAAAGGGGAAGTAATGGAGGATGGAGGAAAGGAAAAGAACGAAAGAAAAAATATGAGAGAAAGAAGGAAAAAAACAACACTTTTGTAAATAGGGAGAAGCAGAGCACTAGAAGGGAGAGAAGGGGAATGGGAAAAAAAAAGAATGAAGATATATCATGTACAGCTACAAATCCCGATGATGAAATGTGATTATGATGTATACCTAAAATGTACCGTTTTTTTAAAAAAAGAAAGTATATGAATATTCATAAACCTCCAGCCATCTATTCCTAGCAAGATTATTTATGGCAGCCAAAAAATAGATAAAAACAATCCAAATGCCTATTAACTGCAGTATGGATAAATAAAATGTGGTACATCTATGTAACAGAATGTCACTCATCCATCTAAAGGAAAGGAGATCTAACACCAGGTATGACACGACCCAACTTTGGAAACTATGCAAATAAAATTGCTCAGGGTAAAAACTTCCCTCTGATGTAAATACCTCAAAGTGTAATCAAAATATTCATGCACTTTTTCTACTTTCATGTTTCCTGAGCATATATGTAGGACAGAATCAATCTGCTCAAACTTTTATAGAATTTTGCTGTCATTTCAGACTTACTGAACAGACACTTTCTCTCAGGGCATAACTGTGCTTTGAATGTTTCTGCACTGATATTAGGTTCTACCTCTATATTCTGGAAGTGCCTGTCAGGCTTTCCACCACAACCTTACTATTTTTCCTTTGTAACTGTTAACTATCTCACAGAGAAGGTAACTGCAGACTATGTGGGTATCAAGTTTCTCCTCAAATTTTCTCCATGTCTTAACAACCTTTCATGGCCTCTGGTGGACAAAAATTATGAAATTTGTCAAATACTAAATTTGAAAACCTACTATCCTTTCTTGTATGTTTATGAAGGCTATCATGAAAATACCTTTATCTTCAACTTTATTTGTCTATTAATTCATTTGTTCTTGTAAACTAATTTAATTATATTTTAAAGATCTTACCATCATTAGTCAGTATCTTCCTCCTTCAAGAGATTTACCCCGTCCAGCTATCCCTGAATGGTGCCGGTGAAAACCAGCGGTTATTCACTAAGTTCAGTCCACTGGTGTCCTTTATATACAAAGTTTCATCCATCTCTGACTTGCTGCTTCTGTACTCCCCTTCCTTCAGTATTCTCAACATTCTGCAGCCCGGACTGCAAAAATCTTAAGATAGTTAATTCACGCACAAACACCCAATTACCAAAAAATAAATGACAGCATAGCATGTTGGTTCAATGGTGAACAAATCAAAGTTCTAAATATTTTCTTCCATTACTGTGGCAGAGAAATGCAACATTATGCCACAATTCCTCCTGCATGTCATGTGACCAGCATTTCACTTACTCTCTGAGGACTTCTAAGCAACTGCACATGCAAGCTACAATGTGTGTTAGAAAGGAGCTAAAATGAGTAGAGAGAGTAAACTGATGGTAGAACAGGTATTCAAATGATTGGAGATTGTTTAGGATGCAGAACATAGGGTCATCAATGACAAATGGGTGGTAAGAGATTTGTAGTTCAGACATTTACATTTACATCAGTTTCCAGTTGTTTTTGATTCAGGGATTCTAAATGGTGTTCTTCTTCTGTTGCTGTATTGTATTTTTCTTGATACTGCCTACCTCTGTCTATTCTAAAATAACTTCTAGAGGGACTACATTTTTTATTGGCTATTTCTCTTTGGATTTTGGCTGTGCCCATGTGATAGTTCAGTACTTCTGGCCCAAGATCACAGCATGCTATCTCCTAAGTAATAGTATGCCATATTTCTAGGTCACAAACCCTGAAGTTACACACCATGGAATTTTTCCACAAATCAATTTCTTATTCACCTTTTTCTCTTGTATCTGAAAAATCCCAACATTTACTTTTGAACTGAGAAACATTACTTAATAATCTACATGATGCTGACATTAAAGTCACAGGAAAACTACTGAGAATGTATCATTCAATAAAATCTGCTTTTGCACAAGAGATTTAGCAAATCATAAATATTTTTAACTATAAAGTTTGTGTTACCATAGAATTTTTTTTAGAAGTTATGAATAATGGGAAAAATTACACAGCCCAACTCAATACTCAGCCTCAATTTACTTATGAAAAGGAATTCCATATGGTTAGTACAAGCATCAAATGAGACAATTACTCCATGTATAATGTTCCTATTTTTAAGTGGCAATATACTCGGAATGCAATGAGCGCTGTATACAGAAATATATATGTAATTGAAACTATACACACATAAAAAAGCAAAATAACCACCAGAACCCACTACAAACATTGTGAGTATACTTCCTATAAAGTTGATTTTATTGACCATATCACAATAAATACATATATCACTTCACATTATTGATATACACTGTCAATTCACACATCCTTGATATTTAGTAACAGGTAAATAAACTTCTGAAAATTAAATTTTCCTGTCAGTTAACTTGAGCATACATTACACATTAACCACTGAAAATAAATCAACTGTATTCAATGTTTCCAAGTGAAAAGATTAAAAATATATGATCACTAATTTCTCTAGCCTGAATCAGATTATCTACAATTTTATAAATATATCTATATTTTCTATAAGTAGCCCTGACATTACACACATGTTTGCACAGTTCTTATTTCATGTTACAGGTAAATTTCTAAATGTAAAACTGTTGGTCAAAATGTGCTAATTTCCATCTAATTCAACTTTTGCATTGGCTTCTTCAAAGTTTGTAACACACTAGTTCTAAACTACCCACTTTTTGTTAACACATATGCTTGCTAATCTGATAGGTGAAAAAGGCAAATAATTATCAATTTTTATTTCATATGTACACATACAGAGCCCATATATACATGTACTTCATATGTATATCGTGTATATATCATGTATGCATTTTATTAATTATAAAGGTTGATATGGTTGAACAGTTTTATATGCTTTTCTGAGTCATTTACTTAACTGCATTCCCACTTTCTCCTAAAATGCATATCATAAGAATTTGTCATATATGTGACTAAAAAATAAAAAATAGCCCTAATTTAATTTTAAGTCAGCAAGTCACACACTCTGTCTTTTTCTACTTAAGTCCTCCAATGCAGATGCATTGACAAATGAGCAAATCTGGAAAATTATGATTAATTAGAATAAAATATATACAAATCATTTATTGTCTTTATATACTAGGCTAAACAACAGATTTGGAATGTGGTAAATCTGTCCTGATTACAACTTCTTAGAGGAAGTCCAAATGGGTTTTAGTCACCACTCAAAGGAGATGGTTAACACCAATCCTACTGAGAAACAAAATTTTGATTTTAAGTCTGCTGAACAGAAAAGAAGGCAGGCAAGATATTGGACACTAATTCCCTGGGACCTTTACAGACGAATGTGGAAGAAACGGGCTCAACTGGAAAGAGGTTCTTAGAACTCCAGTTTCTCAGACAGTCCTTCTTTTACATTGCTTACATTACGATGATGGAATGTGAAGGTCAATTGTATCACTGTTTTGAGTGGGATTGGACAAAGGATCTAAAATAATTTTCATGAAAATAAAATGTCATAATAATCCTCAGATGTTATCATGTGGCTGAATTAATTATGTTTTCTGCTTAGAGCTAAACCAGTGCTCTACTGGAGGGACTGGCATGCTACCTACCCACAGGCTGCAGTTGTGAGTGAAGTCTGCCTGGGATACAGTCACAGCATGTTACTCAGTGACACATTATTACGCTGCTTTCAAAATACAACAGCACAGTAGATCATCTGCAATAGAGATAATATGACTTTCAAAACAAAAAAATGTTTATGTGGTCCTTCACACAGTTTTATAGTTGATGGTCTAGTTTAACAAAGGCTGGGGTGATAATTCCATATAATTAAAACTAAGCTTTAAAATAGGAACTAAAGGAGGACAGGAAAAACAGCATCCTCAGGTTTACTCATGCCAACACAACACTCCTAAAAACTCTTTGATTTTCAGATTCAAGCACAGTAACAAGGCTAGGCATCTTGCGAAGCAGGGTGCCTGTCCTGCTGAGCAGTAGCCCCGCTCCCTAAAGCTTTCTTTTTCTGTACATCTCATCTCAGACCACTGTGAGCAATGCGGACACACATGAGAGAAACTCCCTCTGTTCTCCATTGCACTTTTGTCTCTTATTTAGTGTCTAGGTACATGGTAGACAATAACATCTGATAACAGACATACAAGACCAATTAGTGTTGGTCCAAGTACAGCACTTTTTGTTCCACAGCAGCTTAATTGGCTCCATAGGAATATTTATGAATTTTTCCTGAGGTCATACAAAGGCAATAACCGTTTTAGGGTGGTATGCATTACAAAAATTTTAATAGCTCCCCTTTCCAGCATGATCATTATGATGACTGGGAATAATGAGTTAACAAATGCAAAAAAATAAACAATTCAAATGAAATAGATAAAATTTATTTTACTCCTAAATTCTAGAGGCTGTGAAGTCCTTATGTCCTAACTCAGTAAAAAACAAAAAGTAAATTTCAAGAGTGGGATTCATTCAAAAAAGAAAGCGTATCAAACATCTACCCACAATTAACCAAATATTCCACATCCATGCTTTGCCATAATAGTAATTTCAATTCATTAAATGAAATATATTTAGATCATTAATTGTCCTCAATCTTTTCCAATGCTTTGTTTCATTCACAATCATCCATTCACTAACTCATTTTCACTATCAATACCATGAAATCTAAACCAGCCGTAAAAATATGGAAAGGGTTTATACCCAAGGGAAACATCTAACAGTGAAGATGCAGCCCAGAAAATGAGACAAAATCTTTGTCAACTACTCTACAATAGCAGATCACTATTCAGAGTATATAAAGAACACAAAACCTAACACCAAAACATCAAGTGCAAACAAAGACAGCAGACACTTCTTACAAGTACAAATGGCTAATAACATCTTTAGCCATTAGGGAAATGCAAACCAAGACTACTTTGGAATTCCACCTCACACCAGTGAGAATACAAAAAAAAGTGCTGGTGAGGATGCTGGGAAAAACTAAATATCTATGTACACTGCTTGTGGGAATGTTAAATTAGTACAGCCACTACAAGAATGTTAGCATGAAAGTTCCTCTAAAAATATTTTTTAATAAAGGCTATAATTTGACCCAGCTATAGAATTCCTTGGGATATAGCCAGAGGAATTAAAGTTAAAATATTACTATAGGAAAACTTTCATACTCTTGTCTATTGTGACACAATCCACGAAAGCAAATATATGAAACCAGGCGATGTTCCCATAACAGGTGAATGGATAAAGAAAATATGTATATCATATATATTACATATCATATCATATTATCATATTTATCAGTATCATAATATGAAGTGAAATAAGCCAGATTCAGAAAAACAAATATCACACATTCTCCCTAATATGTGAAATCTAAAAAAAGAATAACACAGGGCGGGGGATTTAGCTCAGTAGTGCTGCCGCCTGCCTCACAAGCGCAAAGTCCCAAATTCGATTCCCAGTACCAAAAAACAAAACAAAACAAAAAAAACAAAAAAAGGAAGATGTAAAAGTAGAAGGGAAACCATACTAGACAAAAGGGGAGGGGGAAGGTGTAAAGGTAGTATTTCTAGAACAGATTGTTCAAGTTACAATCCAAAATTATTTAATGAAGAAAAACATAACCAATACAACAAGTTAACCTTGAAACAGCTGATACGTTGGATTTTTATAAGATATTACTGTAAAGAACAAAATATACTTATAGAAAGAAAATTGGATTATCTAATATTACAGAATATAATACACACACGAATGCATGAATGCATACATGTGTGTATATATCCTGAAATGAAAAACAAGATATCTCAAATTTTAAAATTCACATGATACACTTATGAGCAAACTAGAAACAATAAACTATGAGCATGAGGTCATCTTCTCAGAAACTAGTCAAAATGAAAGAAGAAAATGGAAGATTTAAAAAATGAACCTCAGCAATCTGCGAGAAATATGAATTAGTCTAATAATCACACATGTAAAAACTGGAGTCCTGGTAGAAAGAAGAGACCGAAAATATTTTTTAAATCTATAAAGACATAAATTTTCAGTTTTAAGAACATCATCAAAAAACCAAATGTTAGCCGGGCATGGTGGTGCATGCCTGTAATCCCAGCACTTGGGAAGCTGAGGCAGGAGGATCACTGTGAGTTTGGGACAAGGCTGGACTACATAGTGAGTTCCAGGTCAGTCTCAACTACGTAGTGAGACCCTGTCTCAAAAAACAAAAACAAAACAAAACACCCAAACACTACAAAGTTAACACAGAGAGTCACACACATTATAAACAACTGCTCCATAGCAAACATTCTGAGAAAACCTTGAAAGGGTTCAGAGAAAAATGGACCAATGACATAAAAAGGAATAATAATAAAATTACCAGTGACTTCCAAACCAAATCAATGGTTTAGGGTTAGTGTTAATGTTGGTGTCAAAAAATGCAAACTGTATTTCTGTGGTAACAGTATCTTTCAATGGAGATAAAAATGACATTTCAATAAAAGACAAATAAACACAATGATACTAAAAGAAAAATTATCACCAGTACTACAAAGTGCTAAAGAAGTCCTGGAAGACAGACCTATTGTAAAACACAGGGCACTGGAACTCGTTTTGATATCACACACATGAAGAAGCTGGGAAAAGACTAGAGTCCAGATAAAAATGTGACTGACAAGAAATCTTCAAAATTATACATTCAGGTTTCTGTGTCAATCCAAAGTAATAACATTCTCAAACAGCGAATAATCCCATTCATTTCTAGTGGTAACAGACAGATATGTGTTCATTCACCCGACATTCCCAATAAGTTTGAAGACAAACACCGAGCACTGTTAGGGGCAGACTTTTCCTGTGGCGCAGAGGGTTAGGAGGATCAACAAAGATGTTGCCATAGGCAAGTGAGGATTACACATTTACGTTTAGCTAGAACAGAAAGCAGCTTCCAAAGAGAAAACCTAATTTTCCAAATTCAGACATGAATTTGCTTTCTCCCCATTACATAATATAAACCACTTTAGTCTTAGAGCTATAAGGGGCGATCAAAATATACACTGAATGTGTAATTTTCTAAAAAACGTATTACTATAAGACAGTTTTCTCAAAATACTCCCACTTGCTTCAAGCTAGAACAGAAAGCAGCTTCCAAAGAGAAAACCTAATTTTCCAAATTCAGACATGAATTTGCTTTCTCCCCATTACATAATATAAACCACTTTAGTCTTAGAGCTATAAGGGGCGATCAAAATATACACTGAATGTGTAATTTTCTAAAAAACGTATTACTATAAGACAGTTTTCTCAAAATACTCCCACTTGCTTCAAACACTCATATCATCACACTTGCCAATTTCTTCCTTTTTGAGAGAGAGAGAGAGAGAGAGAGAGAGAGAGAGGGTCTCATTGTGTAGTTCATTCAGTTCAGGCTGGCCTCAAACTCACAACCACCCTCCTGCCTCAGCTTTCCGATGCTGGGATTACATGCCTGTACCACCACACCCAGCAACTCCTGCCACTTCCTTAAGCAGTCCTGGTAGCCCTCTGTTCATGTCTTTATGCCGTATACTCAGAAAGTCAGTGAACGCTGTGGCCAGGTGCCATCCAACAAAAAGACAGGCTTGTAAAAATATCGTGGTATAATTGTATCCACTGTATCAATCATATCTGGCATCATGTAACACCTGTGTCTCTTCCTCGAAGTCAAAATGACCATGAAAGGGTAATCCTTTTGAATCAAGTCGGGACACGAAGGCAACTACAACAGCACATCTAAAGCCACTCCTAAAAGGACTTCTAGAACTGCTTCAGAAAGTGGCAGGAATGATGGCATAATATCTTTGAAGTGAGAGGGCCTATTTTAAGTTGAATTAATAAATTTTTAAAATTTAAAACTACCTCTATACCTTTTCATCATGTCTATGTCTAAAACTCCGTGTGGGGGGAATCACAAGATTTCCTCTTCATTACACTGTCAAACACGCCACATGCTCAAATGTCTATCAGAATATCACTCTCTCTATTGCTATACTCTTACTATTCTTAAGTCTCTGTATCTTATTCTTTCCAAATTTGGTCATTAAACAAATTTTAATGAAACTTATTTTTAAATGGTATTTTTAAATCCCTGTCAAGTAGGAGATCATTATTTTGGGAAAAGGAGACAGACCACTGAACAAAAACTGAATCACAATTGTTATGTGTGTTGGTAAGTGCATAAACACTATGTTTAAGGTCTTGAAGTGGGAAGAAAAGCCAACAGGACTACCTCCATGGAGTTATTTATATTAAGGCATAGTGACCACCCCTGTGATACTTCAGGTCTTGCATTCAATGACAGTCTCACTCCAAACTTCCATTGGAGCACAAATATATTTAAATGTTCTTTCCAAAGCATAGCCTCTCCACTAAAATATGAGGTGGATGTGGGTGGGCATCCCATGAAGTATCAATGAAGACTACCATGAATTAACTAACAGGACCAGTTTTTCTTTAATCTGATATACTTCTATCAATTTAACAAGCATTAGTTTTTCTAAAGGTAAGAGAGTAAAAATAAAGCACTAATCTTACTCAGAAATACTAACTAGAACCCGGAAGGAAAGCAAGAAAAGAAAATGTATACGTTATTTAACAAAGTTCTCAATGTCTTTTTAGAATTCAACACTAACAACTTGGTCAGTTGTTTTTGCATATGACATTTTATTATTT